ATTGATAACTAAGTTGAGCACGAAGCTCCTATCTAATGGCAGACGTGCCAGTCTTATATAGAACCTTCATGTTCCTGTGCTAGCTTGCTAGCCCAGTCGCCCCGTCGCTGCAAGACCGCGCGACCGGTCGCCCTGTCTAGCACAACTAGTCACGTGATACGAATGGAATGAAATCCCTGGATCGCTTAGCTAGTCTAAGCATCCCTATTTGCTATAAGAGATATGATAGTGCTCGACCTGTCAGGACACCGCCTGGTCTTCACTCATCACATGCTTACACGTGATTCGTGACACTTGTTTACTAGAAAGGATATAGACCTAAGAAGGACTAATAGTTAGATATTAAGGATCTTAGTAACGCTTTAGAGGTTATTTAGGATTTTAAGGCTACTACTTCTGAGATTATTCTATAATAAGCGTAATAAGACAACTTTTCTTTTATTTAGGATAGATATATTAGATTTATATTAGATTTAGAATAGATTATATTACTTTTTAATAATCTTTATATATATTTAGGTCCTAAAAGAAGGAGCTAGGTTCTTTATTTTTATAGATAATAGGTCCGGACCTTTATTATAATTAGTAGACATATACTTAGTATTATCTATACTCGTTTAGAGTCTATACTTAATAACGTTAGGATGTTATCTTTTTCTTTTTAGGGGGTAATTATTATAGAACGTACTAGAGTTTACTCCTTTATTTACTTAGTATATAACTCCTATATTAGGCGAGGCAGCCTATATACTATATAGTTCTAGAAGAGTTAAGGCTAGTCTTATATAAGTTATACTAGTCTTACGCTAGTCTTAGATAGGAAGGTTCTATAGTATAGGAGAGCTCTTATATTAGGGTACTACTTTATCTTAGCTAGCTACTTTTTATAGCTTATTCTAACAGTCTCCTGTTTTGTCCTTAATAAGTAGTCGGACGTGTATAGGATATTAGAGTTGTTTTTATAGTAACGAGATGGGACCCCTATATATACTACCGGAAGGTTAGAATATAACGGCTAAGTAGTATAAGATTATACTCTAAAGGCTTTTTATTCTATTCTATAATAGGATAGTCGCTAAATATAGGCCGGAGGTAGTAATATAAGAGGATAACGTACCGTAGTATACCGCTAATATTATTAAGAACTACCTAGCTAATAAGGGGATTGACCGGATAAAACAGCTACTATAATTACCCGATCTTAACCCTATTAAGAATTTATAGAAGTAGGTTAAGGACTTTATCTCTAAGAGGAAGTACAAGGTTAGGAATACAAAGGATATACGTTGCGCTTTTATTTAAACATAGACATAAATACCCGAAGATTTACTCCTTAAGCTATACGATTATATACTAGCTAGGTACGCCATATACCTTAAGAACAAAGGCAGGGCAACTTAGTACTAATTAGTTATTAATTGAGCCTATTTCTGATCTATTTGCATGTGTTTTAGTAAAGTAATAGTAGTTTTAATATATAGGTGTCGAAAAAGTTATGTGACCGTTAGTACACGGACCTGATTATACGCTATAGTAGAAAAATCCATTATCCTAAAGAACCTTATCGAGATTATATACCTAACCCGATTCTACGAGCCATGTAGAACAATCAATAATTTTCACATCTAATTAACCCAGGTAAAACCGTAAATTAGGACAATGAAAGGAATTTGTGCCAGACGTTTAGTATAATGACTTTCAGGTATAACTCCATCCACACCTAAAGTACGCTACAGTAGAAAAGTCAATTATCCCAAAGAACCTCATAAGAAGAAACTGATTCTACGGGCCATTTAGAATAATCTAAATTATAATATGATATATCTTTATTAATCCAAGTCATTTAGGACAATGAAAGGAATTTGTGCCAGACTTTTGGCAGAATGACTTGGGATAGCGTGTACAGTACAGTGTAATGACCGGGTTTTTTAGGTACAGTACTATACTTACATACCGCCATTCACACACAGCAAAAAAGAATGAAGGCGGGGGGCTCAGTAAATAGCATTCTACAGTTCTCTCTCTATCAAATAAACGAAAGATCCCAGAACTATCATGTTGAAAAGAATTATGCACTTCTTATTCCAAAAAGAAAAAAGTACGCCTGTATGCTCCGGTTGAATGCAGCCATTGTTTTTTGGTGTGTTGAGATCATTACTCATCGCTTCCAACTATGTCTATAACATAAAAGTTTTTTTTCAATAGAGAACACGGGTCAGAATACGGGCTGGAAGATAGTGTTAGTCTCCTGGTGATCCAATTGGTGAGTGTAGAATAGTTACAGCTAAGTGCTTCCAAGGCGTCGGAGATTTCCTTGAGATCGCTGTTGTTGACATCGCTGACATCGGCCATAAGATAGGCGACCTATTTTATGATCAGTATATTTTCAAATGTTGAGTGGAGTTGCAATCATACATCTCCCTTGTTATCGGTGATTTGTTTGTCGACGTTGTGATCACCGAGGATTTCGTTGACTGGAAATACGTTAATACTGACCCACGAAAGAGTGGCTTGCCGCTTACCCTTTCTCAACACACCAGGAACATTGCGATGGATGTAGATGACCTGAGATTTATTAGTGACGCACAAAAATGGAAGGAGAGGTTGCCTACTCTGGCATGATTTGACTCATCCAAAGTCAATGAACGAAGGTTGACTTCTGGGAAGTTTACTGCTCCGAGAGTTACACCGGAATTGATATATCTAACGAGTGCCTCGCTAACTATTACAGTGTCAGCTAATGCAAGATATTTGCACAAAGTAGTTTGCATAATCACCTTCCACTCCAATGGCACTTTGGGCCTCTTCTGTGCTTCCACCAATATGGGGTGACAAGACAATGTTCTTCAGGCTGCAGAGATCCGATCCCCATGAGTTGAGGGAATTGTTGAAATAATCTCCGTTTGCACCTGGCTCATTAGGATACACATCAAGTGCAGCGCCAGCAATTTTACCATTTCGAGAGGCGTTGATCAGAGCTGGGATATCCACAACATGCCCACGGCTGGCATTGATCAAGTAGCTTCCAGTCTTCATTTGCTCCAATTCGGCTGCTCCAATCATGTCTCTAGTTTCTGGTAACTCGGGAACATGGCAAGTGACAAAGTCGGCTTCGTTGAGCAAGTCCTTGAGAGTTGGAACCTGCTTGGCCGTTCCCAATGCCATAAGATTGATGACATCGTAATAGATGACGTTCATGCCCATTGCTTCCGCAAGAACGGACAATTGTGATCCGATGTGACCATAACCGATGATACCTTGACTGACCGTTAGTCATGGTAGCAGATATATTAAACATGTGAAAGCACTGACCGAGAGTTTTGCCTCGAATTTCCCAGCACTTGGCACTGACTTTGTTCCAGGTTCCATTGTGCAGTTCATTTGAACGATCACCCAGTTGACGAGCGAGGACAATGATCTCCGCAATGACCAACTCGGCCACACTTCTGGAATTGGCAAAGGGGCTGTTGAAGACGGCAATTCCATGGAGTGCGGCGTACTCGAGGTCGACCTGGTTGGTACCAATACAGAAACATCCAACCACAATCAAGTTTTTCGCTTCACGGAGGACTTTTTCCGAGAGCTTGGTCTTGGAACGGATTCCAATGACATGAACATCGCTATTGGGTTGGAATCAGCCAACGTGTCATCCAGTATGTATGGATGAGGGGTTACCGAGCCCCGCGGCGTAAGGGTACAAATAACTCACCGAATCTTTTGGATCAGCTCTTCCTCTGGCAATGAAGTCTTCAATGCTTCCACTTGGTAACCCTGAGCCCTTAATATATTCTGTCCACTCGTATTCACATTTTCCAGGAGGAGGATCTTGATGTCGGTGGTGTTGAAGGGCTTCAATTGTTTTGCTGGTGGGGGTGCACGAGTGCGCCCGAAGCTGCCCCTCGGGCTGAGAAGGCTGGAGAAGGTGGCTGTGGGAGAGGTTGAGACGATGTTGTTGGGAACCGACATACCGGCCAGCTGCTTGGAAAGCGACTGTTCGTCTTCTTGGGTGGCCATTGTTTCGTATGTGTCGATTGGGAAGAGTTGCCAGTAAAAGATATATGAAGTATGGATGTATGAGAGAAGAACGTCGTGACTCAGAAGAATGAATTTCTTAGTATTTATGGCGGACTGCAAGGCTGAGAGAAAACCCTCACACCCTCAGACCCTTAGACTTCAAACCACTGGGTCTGAGGCCTAGGGATCTAGCTAGCCTAGCCTAGGGTCCTGTCAGGAGCGCCTCTACCAGTTACTCACACCTGTACTGTACTAGTACGCTCAGCCTCGCCAGGAGAGAGCCATTCAAGATCCAATGTCCACGCCACGCCTACCAACATGCCAATACTCGCCAATCCACCCCTGCCTCTGCTGCCTCCAAGTACCCCACACTATGGGGAAAGTCGACTCGAGTCGAGTCACAACAGCCATTTCGCCACTTTTGCATGCACCACTGAAACAATGCGGATTGAACATCTACAAGCACCAGCGAGTAGATGTTCAAGAAGTCGAAGAAAACTCCAAAAAATTTGCTACGGTATTACACTGCATTGCCTACTAATATGAACAAAGAGACTCGTGCCCATCGACATCCATTACTGCACATCAATCACATCTCGCTCCGGCTAACTTTTTTCATTTGACATCTACGGACCAACAACAAACGCCTGTACGATATTTGCATGTAAGAGTGATGCAGTGCAGCCGCAGTATCGTATCTGCATCGACGAACGTAACTTCGGGCAAGCAGGTTAGTCTAGAAGTAATGAAGAAGAATAAGACATGAACCATGCGTGCAGAAAACACCTATGCAAGTGCAATGTAGGCCCTCCCAACTCCGAACCAAGCATCCTGTTTATGTGCCGGCCGGTAGAATCCGAGAGCTCATCAGCCATGGCACGAAGCCGGTCGTCGCAGATCCTCACATCACGCGATATATTAAAGAGTCGTCGTTTAGCTTTGCTTGCACTCAGCGGCCTCCTGCTTGGGCTTTGCGGCATCATCCTGTGAGTGTGTTAGCAGTATTCCGGGAGAACATCATGGCGATACACCTACATCATCATCAGATTCGTCCTCGTCATCATGGTCTTCGCTCTCGTCTTCCTCATCATCCTCATCCTCAAAATCACCCTCCTCAAGATCATCGTCATCAAGCTCCTCAAATTGAAGAGCCTCGCCGGTGAACCAATCGATAGCACGTGGAATCAACTTCTCCTTGATGTCCTCTCCGAGTTGGTAATCGAGCTCCAAACGCTCCTCGATATCACTAGCGGCATCATCGTCGTCCTCTTCGGTTGGGGCCTTGGGTGGTGAAAAGAAGTTGAAGAAAGACTCGGTGGGAACGGTCTTCTTGACTACTCGAGTTTGCTTGGTGTCTGTGATATTTGTTAGATAATAATTCATGCGGGAAATTCCCAAACATACTCTTGTTGCGTTGCTTCTTGCTCTCAACTCTAACAGTCAAATCCTTGCCAGCCTTCCAGTCAATCTTGTCACCTTCGGCATGATCATAAATGAAATCTCCTCCATAACCACTCTCGTTTTGGTAAAAGTAGGTTTTGGTAATGGTCTTGTTGGTGAAGAACTCATTTTCAGCGAATTGGAAGATTAAACGGAATCCTGGCTTGTCGAGGTACTCCATTTGGACATCAACGAGATCCTTAAGAGCAGCCTCATCTCGATCGGTAATCATTTCTGCGAGTGAGATCTGGTTCTTCATGGCCGACAGCCAGAATTCTGGGATACCCTTCACATCTGATGCGCCTTCCTCTTCCTTGACGGCTGGCTCCGATTCACTAGGTTCCTCGTCCTCCTCGCCAGACTTGACCTCCTCGGCAGTAGGCTCAGCAGCACCATTGACGATATCGGCACGTTTCTGGTAGAGCGGGGTAAACTTCGCAAAGTACTTCTTCTCCAACTCGAGGACCTCCTCTTGGAACTCGGCCTCCAATTTTGAGTGCTCCTTCTGTACGCCTTTGAGTCCAGCAACACGGCGGCGAACTGGAGCGGGAAGAGATTCAACGTAACCAGATGATCGACCGACAAGAGAACCAAGCTTGCCCTGGATCATTTGGACGAGTTTGGGGTTTTGCGCAAAGATGGAAGCAGCGGCCGCACGATCGAATTCCTCTGTTGGCGTCAAAATCAGTTAAGTGAAAATTAAATCTCGGTGAGGGGCAAAATGATATACATACCCTCCTTGATTGTTCCTACGCCAGGCTGCTGCGCATGCGAAGAGATAGGAGCATTGTTGGCAGGTGTATTTTGAGGAGTTCTGTAGATCCACGATTAGCTTGATGTGCCGTTGCATTCGTGATGAGGGGTTGTCGTCAACGTACGGTGCGGCGGTGGTATTTTGTTTCTTTGGAATCTCCGACATCGTGAGAGATCTCTAGCCCAGGCGGGGGATGTACTTGGGAAGAATTTCTCAGATGACTATATCCAGATGTTGGGATGGGAAGGCAGGTGGATGTCTTCGCGAGAGTGGTGATGGTTGAAGGGATGCCGCGAAGGGTTGGGTTTGTCTTGGGTCAATACTGCAAGTTGTTGAGAGAATTCTCTGGTAGCGTAGCGCGGGGTGCTGTTAGCGCTTCGTGATACAGTAACCCCGCATTCAAGTGGCAGTGGCAGTGGCAGTGGAGTAGCAGTCCCGACAATCGGCGACCGGAGCACACTCGGGCCGGGTGGGACGGATCGACAAGAGCCCGAGGGCGATAGGGTGAGAGGAGGCAAGTGCCAAGCAAGAGCAAGTGCAAGCGCAAGCAGGCTCAACTTGGGCAAGGTTCAGCCGACGCAGAACAGCCATGTCAAGGTAGGAATTTTTGACTTAGGACGACAACATGACATCGAAGTGACACCACCACCGTCGGCAACTACTATAGCGTTATTCTACCACACCACAGCTACACAGCGATCGGAGGCTGCAAAATGCTGCGGGCAGCCCCGTAAAGACCTCGAATAGCTGGCTACAGCTCACGAAATTATATCGAATCAACCTTCATCATGTACGGCACCAGTGGGAGCAATGGCATCGCCATTAACAGCAACAATTCGCAGCGAAGTAGCTCACGGAATCATGACAGTGCGAGAGCGAGTTTCGCCATGCACCGGCGGGGCAGCACTCTCTCAACGACGAGTTTTCTCGACGAGGTGGAGATGGCACAGGACGAGATGTTCTCAGGTCCAATGGGCGAGAGTGTCCCCTCGAGCATTTCTTCCTTTGCCCATCGACGGGGACGAGCCGATTCGACGGCGAGCTTCACATATTACCAAGAAGGAGAGGAACAGGATTTGACGACGCACTCGCCGGAAAACGATAGCGCAATTCTCGATGATGATGAATCCGAAATGAACTTTGAAGAGGATGATTCGGTGGACCTGGAGGCTGGAGAACTTGCGTCCATGCGAAGGGGATCTTCTCGTGCCTCAAGAGGATCTGTACATGATCGCCTCCTCCGACAAGATAGCTCGAGAAGCGAGGGTGCTGGAGGCGGACGTACAAACCAGAAAATCTACATTGTAACTGAGGATCTGACAATTGTGGTTGCTGGATTTCGGACTTCTACAATTGGATTTGCTATATACACTACCATTTGCATATTGACCCTCGGTCTTGGCTACCTCCTTTTCCGCTGGCTACCTCGATGGCAGGTGTACATGGTAGGTAGGCAGTCACCTTTGGGATCATGTACCTGGGTGGTCATAGAAGTAAGTATCCATTTTCTCCAGTTGTCTACGAGATATGCCTTTTATGATGGATATCCCACGTCCCGCTAGAACCTTCCAACCCATGAAAGAGGACCCTTCTAACAAGGATAGAACCAATGGGGCGAATTCGTCGTGCAGGATGTAGATTCAAAAGAGTATGGCCGCTCCTTGTCCACGGTATTTGGGACGTCTGAAAAGCGGTACATATTCGCATATGACGAGGATGAAGATCCGGTCCTCGACAGTCTTCGAATTATTGACTATAGATACATGCGATTCTCGTACAATCCCTTGCAAGATAAATTCCTACTTACCAACAGCTGGAAAGATCCTACATGGACCAATGTAAAATCCATTCGTGCTGGAATAGACGGGGAAGAAAAAGAGAACCGTGAACTTGTATTTGGCAAAAACATGATTGATATCAAACAGAAAACTATTCCCCAGCTCCTTGTAGATGAGGTGTGTATTATACGCTGCCCTTTTGCGTTTCCGCAACTCACACGTGCAGGCATTCCACCCTTTCTATGTTTTCCAAATTGCCAGTCTCATCCTCTGGTCGCTAGATGAATACTACTACTACGCGGCTTGTATTTTTATTATCTCAGTAGTGAGCATCACAACCACTCTTCTAGAGACACGCTCAGTTAGTCACCCCAGAAACCCCAATCCTATACATACAATTGATGGTCGTTGTTGTAGACAATGAAAAGACTTCGAGACATCTCAAAATTCGAATGCGACGTCCGTGTCTTGCGGAACTCTTTCTGTAGGTCATGCCTATTTTCAATTAAACTTCTGGTTTCTAATAAGCAATAGGGCGTTATGTTCCGTCTAGTGAACTTGTACCTGGAGATGTTTACGAAGTCACTGATCCTGCCCTAACTCAGTTTCCCTGCGACAGTATACTTCTAGCAGGTGATTGTATTGTGAATGAGAGCATGCTTACTGGTACGTTGTATTCCCGAGATACCGAGGTACCCAAGCTAATTTCTCAGGCGAGTCGGTGCCAGTATCCAAAGTTCCAGCAAACGATGAGGCACTTCGGCTTCTCAATCTCGCGGCTTCTTCAATAGCTCCCGAGCTATCTCGACACTTCCTCTTCTGTGGGACAAAGATAGTACGAGCGAGAAGACCACAAGATGACAAGGATGACGAAGCTGTTGCACTGGCCATAACTGTAAGGACCGGCTTCAATACGACCAAAGGAGCTCTTGTACGGTCTATGCTCTTCCCCAAGCCATCCGGGTTCAAATTCTATAGAGACTCGTTCAGATATATATCGGTCATGGGAGGCATTGCAATGCTCGGCTTCGTCGCTTCATTCGTCAATTTTGTGCGTCTGCATTTAGCATTCCATTTGATAATTATCCGAGCGCTGGATCTGATTACGATCGTGGTTCCGCCAGCGTTGCCAGCAACTCTAACCATTGGAACAAATTTTGCTCTTTCACGGCTCAAGAACAAGCAAATATTCTGTATCAGCCCTCAGCGAGTCAATGTCGGAGGGAAATTAGACATCGTATGCTTTGATAAGACTGGAACGCTGACTGAAGATGGATTGGATGTTCTTGGTGTACGCGTTGTCCAGAATCCATCTGGTCGATTCAGTGACATTCTTTCGGATGCCCAATCACTTCTTCCTGCTGCTTCATACGAACGAGATCCTACTGTTGGGTATGACACTCACAAAGCAGCACTCTACACCATGGCAACATGCCACTCATTAAGAGTCGTCGACGGTGAGCTTGTGGGGGATCCGTTGGATCTTAAGATGTTCAACTTTACTGGGTGGTCTTTCGAGGAAGGAGAGCAAAAGTCTGGCGAAGCGGATGACGAAGAGCATGGTGGTATTTCGCCTTCCATTGCAAGACCTCCACCCGGCATGGAATATGATCTTGATGACAATGAAAGGCGGAATAAAACCACTGTGAGTAAAAATCATGCAAATTCTTGACTTGATACTAATATACTAACAGAGCGCGCCAATCGAATTGGGAGTCTTGAAATCTTTCGAGTTTGTTTCTCAACTCCGCCGAGCCAGCGTCATTGTCCGTAAATTTGGAGATCCGGGGTGTGATATCTACGTCAAAGGAGCACCAGAATGCATGAAAGAAATTTGTAGACCGGAAAGTTGTGAGTTGAAGTTGCTTCCAGGGGCTGAAAGTTACTAATACCCCCCAGTTCCAAATGATTACGAAGAACTTCTGGCATATTATACACACAGGGGATTTCGAGTCATTGCCTGCGCCACGAAACATATAAAGAAGTTAAACTGGGTCAAAGTCCAGAAGATGAAGCGAGATGATGCAGAATCCGGGCTGGATTTCCTAGGATTCATCATATTCGAGAACAAGCTAAAGCCTAGCACGGCTGGTGTTTTGGACGAGTTGTCAGAAGCAGGCATCAGAAAGGTGATGTGCACAGGTGACAATATTCTTACCGCCATCAGCGTTGCTAGAGAATGCAATCTTATAGACAGAACGGCACACTGTTTTGTACCGCATTTCTCTGAAGGTAATGACCAATGATATGAGATGCAAATGAACTTATTAACGACTTCCTAGGCAATTATTTGGATCCTAACGCCGTCATTTCTTGGGAAAGCATAGACAACAGTATTTATACCCTAGATCAGAATACTCTCAAGGTTGGTTACACCCCACCATTATCGTTGTAATTTGTTAACATTGATGTAGCCCTTACCACCGCCAGCTGAGAGCGACGCTTCCTTGCCTTACGATATCTCAAATTTGAGGAATTACTCCTTAGCAGTCAGTGGAGATGTTTTCCGCTGGATCATAGATTTCGCTCCGCCAGAAGTTCTGAAACGAGTCAGTAAACCACAAGTACATTCGAACTATACTGACCCCTCAATTTAGATGCTAGTCTGCGGACAAGTATTTGCTCGAATGTCGCCGGATGAGAAGCACGAACTTGTTGAAAAGCTTCAAAGTATCGGTTACTGCTGTGGTTTCTGTGGCGATGGAGCCAATGATTGCGGCGCATTGAAAGCCGCTGATGTGGGTATCTCGCTGTCCGAGGCCGAAGCTTCTGTCGCTGCTCCATTTACGAGTCGAGTGTTCGACATAACGTGTGTGCCAGAAGTCATAAGGTAATTTTCTCCATATTTAACTGCGAAGTTATTGCTAATAAGTTTACCCAGAGAGGGACGAGCCGCATTAGTTACAAGTTTTAGTTGCTTCAAGTACATGAGTTTGTACTCAGCAATCCAATTCACATCCGTCAGCTTCCTCTACGCCTCTGCATCGAATCTTGGAGATTTCCAGGTATGTCAATATACATACCACATACTAAAAGACTCACTTGCTCATATACAATACAGTTCCTCTTCATCGATCTCATTCTAATTCTTCCAATTGCAATTTTCAGTAAGCATTTTTACACTCGATGCCCATATCAAGCTAACATACCCCAGTGGGATGGACCGGTCCCTTCCCAATCCTCTGCAAAAAGCGTCCAACAGCAAATCTCGTATCGCGTAAAGTGTTGGTTCCTCTTCTCGGTCAAATAGCAATCTGCATCTTCATCCAAGCCGTGGCATTCCACTCTGTACGGAAACAACCATGGTAAGTACTCAAATACTCCTATCAAACAACCAAGAACTCTTCCTAAAAGATTCCAAGGTACATCCCCCCGCAATTAGATACAGAAAAGTCCAATGTCTTGAACTCAGAAAACACATCTTTATTCCTGGTTTCTTGCTTTGAATATATCCTCTCCGGCATAGTCCTCAGCGTCGGCCCTCCATTTAGACAATCGATGGCAAACAATCGTAAGCTCCCCACCTTCCTCTTCTCCTATTCCTCCCATCTCCCTCTCTCCCCTCCTTCCCTATTCACCTGACTAATTGTTTCTGTTTACAGTACCTTTCGTGGTAACCATCGTCGTCGCCCTTCTCTTTTCCTCATACATGCTCTTCGATCCGTCATCAGAAGTAGCAAAGTTCATGCAATTAACCCACATGACCTGGGATTTTAAAGTCTTCCTACTGAGTCTGGGAATGGGATATATCGTTCTGGCTTGGACAGGTGAGAATTATGTTTTGCCGAGACTGGCAAAGTATCTGGGGGCGCTCAAGACGAAGGTTTCGGGGAAGTTGAAGAAGAGAAAGGAGTATAAGGTTATTTTGGAGGAGATGAGGACGCTTTGAGGAAAGGGGGATTGTGATTTTGTAAAAAGTAGATACTGTAGCATTGTATAAAGAGAGTGAGTTGTTGGAGCTTGGTCGGGTTGTACGCACTTGTGATATTAATTCCTGCATGTCTTCGTGGTGAGCTGTGGAGAGGGAAAGATACTAATGATCTACGATTATAGAATTTCTGAAAGATCTTCCGCCTTGAGTGACGATTTTACCCGCCCCAGACTGTGTTACACAATGCCCAGGCGCGGGGCCAGAGGAACAGCCACAGTCCTTGCAATAGCCGCGGCGCCTCTGATAGGACGATGCCTGAAAACGACTTACTAAATGAATTTTAAGAGAAACCCCATTAACGGAGGCAAAGCCCAATTTTTCTTAACACTCTCACTTCCAGAGAAATCCTCCGCAGATATTTTAACCCTCGTTATCTACTAGGCACTCTTGGGGACTCTCCCTCAACATGAGGTATCACGAGTACAATGACGTAACCAATCTCAAAAGCCACTTCCTTCTAATATCTCTCCTTATCATGAATTGATTTTAGACCACCACCTGTACATATTCCGCAAGATAGGCAAGCAAGTTCAAGTTGATACTGACGCGGAAGGAACAGACCGTATTCTGATAGCTCTTTCTCGTGTCCCCCCCCCAAAATATTACCAAGACTGTACGGTGGACGAGAGATACAAAGTGAGATGATACACTATGCCTGCTTTGAACTAAGCCAAACTCAATTCCCTCCCACCCGTTCCACCTCATCATCCATCCGTTCGTTTGTGCGTGCGTTCGTAAATAAACAAGCACATGCACCATACCTCCAGCTTCAAAACTACCTATACCTAACTATCAAACTCAATTCATCCCTCTCACACCCCAAGTAAACAACCTAACCCAGCCCAACCCAACCCATCATGAACTACGGTACGTACCCCTCCCCCCCTCCATCACACCCCCTAACAGCTCACCCCAAAGACTGGATCCTCGACGGCGGGTACCTCCCAAACCGCCTCATCCGTCTCGGCATCCGACGGCAACTAGCCGACCGCCTCTTAACCATCTCATCCACCTCGCTGAGCTCGGCGTACGAGCGGAAAATGCAATATGTAGAAGTGCTGCGGCAACGACCGATTGCGATCGAGACGGCGACGGCGAATGAACAGCATTATGAGGTGGGCACGGGGGTGCTGGCGGCGTGTTTGGGACCGAGGATGAAGTACTCGTGTTGTCTTTATGAGAAGGGGAGTGAGACGCTTGCGGGGGCGGAGAGGGCGATGTTGGAGGTTTATGTGGAAAGGGCGGGGTTGAGGGATGGGATGAGGGTTTTGGATTTGGGGTATGTGTGTTTTTTGGGTTTTTTTGGGTTTTGAGTGCTTACTTTTTATCGTTTTGTGTTGTTTGGACTTGTTTTCTTTTGGGGTATATGAGGATGAATGAGGATGGGTGAAGAGAGGGCTAATGAGATATGGATATAGATGTGGATGGGGAAGCGGAGCACTCTACTTTGCGGAAATGTTTCCCAATTCCGAGATTGTGGCGTTCTCCAATTCCAAGACGCAGAAGATCTATATCGATGAGAAAGCCCAAGTCAAGGGGTTCAAGAACCTGACTGTAATCACGGGCAACGTGGTAGATTATGAGTTTGAAGTCGAGAGTTTTGATCGAGTTGTTTCCATTGAGGTATACCTATCTCCCCTCCCTTGCTCCCTTCCCCCCTTCCTCCCTTCCTCCCTTCCTCCCTTCCTCCCTTCACCCTTTCACATCCCATCCATCCCAAAAAAGTATAGTTGCGGAACAGCTAACAAGAACCAGTTATTCGAACACATGAAAAACTACGAACAGCTCATGGCCAAGATCGCACGAGCCCTGAAGCCTTCAGGGAAACTCTTCGTGCACATCTTCGCGCATAAAACCACACCTTACGACTTCGAAGAGGGATGGATGAGTACCCATTTCTTCTCCGGGGGTACGATGCCTTCGGCGGATTTGCTTTTGTTCTTTCAGCGGGATTTGAAGTTGGAGAAGCAGTGGTGGGTTAATGGGAAGCATTATGCTAAGACTTGTGAGGTGAGTTTTGAACCTTTCCCATCCTTTTTTACTTTCTTTTTAGAGCGAGGGGGGGATAGATTGAGAAGGTATTTGGTGTTTTGATTCGGTGTATACTGATTGAATTCATAGGATTGGCTGTCCAAGATGGTAGCTAGTAAGAGCGAGATCTGGCCGCATCTTACAGAAACTTATGGCGAGAAGGATACGGCGATGTGGTATTATCGCTGGCAGATTTTTTACTTGGCTTGTGCTGAGTTGTTTGCTTATGAGGGGGGTGATACTTGGGGGGTGACGCATTATTTGTTTGAGAAGCCTGCTGCTGCTGCTTCTTCGTAGGGTGTGTACAAGAAAATAGTGTATACAAGCCAATGGACAATAGGGGCTCTTTATATCTTTACGGGAATGGATTTGATGGGGAAGAATTAGCTGTTTAAACTTTGTGGGAGGTGGGTGGTTTTGCTTGTCCATAGAATCATATGGGAGGATTGTGAATTAACAACCTTTTGAAGAAATGCAATTCTGGTCGAAGGACTAGAGAATCAGAGATTTCCTTCTTAAGTTCTTGTAAAAAACCTCAAGGTCATAAAAGACTATACATAGAAGCAATAGAAAATTCTAGAGGGGCTATCTTGGGGAACTATTCAATTCTAAGTCGTGCTCCCATCCCAGATGGTGGAGAAAAGGCAATCTGGTTTCCTAGCGTCCTTTTATAAAGATTTTTACCTCGTACCTCCATTTCCAAACCCAGAGAATATTGTAGGTGGCTTCTTCTACTGAGGGTGGGGAAGATGTACATCAGCATCAAGGTCTATAGCTTTATATTGAGAATTTTCATTGCAAGTGAATGCGGCAGCCGCAAAAGCGAGGTACATTGCTAGATCAGCTGAGAACCCCTACGATACTGTAGTCAAATTGGGTGAAGAGAGAGGGTGTATATAGGAGGTTCTAGGGAAGTACACCGCTACAAGCACTAATAAGACTTTTGTCGGCCATCTGTTAAAACGCACGTTTCAACTACGTCCCGGGAGCGCAGTGAGTAAGTAGCTGGCTTGTGGTGTAGTGGTGTAACAGCCGCCCATGCCGAAGGTCAGTGGCAACCCTCTACAGAGAATCCTCGTCACAGCTTGAATTATTAGCCTTAGCCTCGGGGTGGTAAGACGACAAGATGTCTATTAGCTTATCGGGCCTGACTTTAAAACTTTGGAACCCAACTTCTGATTTATCAGATATCTTTTTCTTTTCTTTTTGGGGGTTTTTGAGGGTGCTAAGGGAAGTGAAGTGGTTGAGTAATGTGTACTGTATGTGCTTGATTGGAGTTGCAGTGAATGGAATGCTGTAAATTTGCGCCGACCGACCACAAGCTTCTTCTTATTGACAGAATGAAATGAGTAGCTCTCCCTAGATTTTAATTGCATCCGGGATACCCTCATCTCAACAGCCTCCCCGTAATCAAGAACGCCCCTCCAAAGCAGCCTCTGCCCTTCCGTCACACTGCCATCCTCTCTTCAATGATCCCAAGGGTGCTTCCAACCGAGTAAAACCGGACCTAAAACACGTTAGACACGCTCGACTCGACGCCTGTCAGAAGATTCCGCACCATCTTTCTTCGCTTTGTACATAACCTGGTCTTATCAGTATAGGCCCTCAATTCCAATCACCAAACCAGACCAAACCAGACTAGCTGGCGAGAAAACATACCCAGAACCACATGCTAGCACTCAATCCCGTAGCGGCGAATCGGTATAACGGTCTCGCTTTTGGTATCGACTCCGGCGAGACAAAGCCGTAGATTTTGCTGCTGTGACTTGTGAGCTTCTTTTGGGCTCGAGATGGGGGAGGGGTGAACGTACGCGTCTTGTGGGCCCGCCATTTTTTTTCTCTAGCAGCTGTTAGGGTGGTTTTCTGGAGGAGGGAGGGAGTAGATTACGCACAGAGAATTGGAATGGCAGATTCTGTTGGGGGGATTCAATTGTTTGGGGTCTTTGAGTGATGGGCCGTTGTATGGAGGGTCTTGGGAGAGGTCGTCGGAGAAATGAAAGTCCGGTGGGTGGAGCTAGGCCTGTTTTGGGGGTGATGGGGTCAAGGCGGCGAGAGTACTCAGTACCTGGCTCGCCAGGTAGGAAAGCATCATCTTCATCTATGGTATTGAGGTATCACATACCTAGGTACACTTACACTTTTCCGAGAATGGGGATTAATGAGACTATAAATTGTACAATCCTTGCTAACACTTACATCCATATAAATTTCAAATCTCCAACCCTTCTTTCTATCAATTTTCACGCTCCGATTTTCCGTCGTGACAATGCACCGTTCTCAGCGCCACCCCCGTGAGTCGAGTGCCGCTTTTTCAGTCGCAACTTGGAGGTCTTGATTGTGACAATGTCAATCCCTAGAGTGAATCAATACCTATACCCAACTGAACTGACAATACCAACCACCAACCACCAACCACCAATCTTTCTGCACTTCTTCCTATTCTTCCACCATTGATTTTCGACCGCCGCAACGGCCATGTCTTACAATACTAATGCTGCCTTATTCCAGTTGGCTCACTACTAATTAATTCCAACTACCATTCACCCTTCCACCGCGACCTTCCAATCCAACTTTCTTGACCTCGCGCTGATAGCCTATACCCATACCGTCTTAAGTCGCATACCTCATACCTTCCACACATTCCATCCGAACACCAACTCAAACCCTCCAAACGGAGATGGCAGCTTCACAGCTCAGCCCGCAGAGCAATGGAGTCTCTCCTCGCAGCCAGTCTGCCACCAGATTTCGCGGCTGCTCCAGAATCACAGATTACGATATACTAGGAAAACTGGGAGAAGGTACCTTTGGAGAAGTTCATCGCGCAAAGTCAAAGAAGACAGGAGCAGTTGTCGCATTAAAGAAGATTCTTATGCACAATGAGAAAGATGGATTTCCAATCACCGCTCTACGAGAGATCAAGCTCCTCAAACTGCTGTCGCATCCGAATATCCTCAGACTGGAAGAGATGGCTGTTGAACACCACGCCAAAACCGACAAGGATAAACGAAAGCGCGCAATCATGTATATGGTTACTCCATACATGGACCACGACCTTTCTGGACTTCTGGAGAACCCTGATGTCCCTAAATTTACGGAACCTCAGATCAAGTGCTACATGATACAACTTCTCGAGGGCCTCGCATATCTACATGACAATCACATATTGCACAGAGATATGAAGGCGGCGAATTTACTTATCAATAATAAGGGAATATTACAGATTGCGGATTTCGGTCTGGCGCGACATTATGATGGCCCTGTTCCGGCTGCGAAGAATGGTGGAGGTGAGGGTATTAGGGACTACACGACGTTGGTTGTTACGAGATGGTATCGTCCTCCAGAGCTGTTGTTGGGAATGAGAAGGTATACTACGGCGATTGATTTATGGGGAGTTGGGTTAGTTCATTCCAAGGAGCTTTAGCCGGGGGTTTACTAACTCTTTGCCAGTTGCGTCTTTGGTGAGATGCTTTATGGTAAACCAATTCTTTCTGGGGACAGCGATCAGAATCAATTGAAAATCATATTTGATTTGGTTGGAACTCCAACGGAAACAACCATGCCGGGATGGAGACATATGCCAAATGCGGAGGGTTTGAACATTATTCCCAAACCCAAAACTCTTCATCAACGTTTTAGAGCGTATGTAAAAGTTACTCATTTCTTCTCCTGCTGTCACTAACGAATCATAGGCATGGCTCAGGAGCGTGCCAACTACTGGACGATTTACTCAATCTCGACTATCGCACACGTCTGAATGCTATTGATGCTCTGGAGCACCCTTACTTCAAGGCAAGACCTTTACCAGCAAAAGCCGGAGACATTCCCATGTTTGAATCATCTCATGAACTGGATCGTCGCAAGAACAAAGGTCAAAAAGCCGGACCACCACCAGCTCCCAAGGGCGGAACCGTAGGTATGGGCCCAAATGGTGGCTGGGGAGAAGCAGGTCCAAATGGAAACCAAAACTACTCTCATAACGATGGATATGGACGACACCACAATGGAAGTCGATATCCTCCTCCTCCTCCTCATGGTGGCTACGGTCGAAATGGTGTTCCTCCCCCACCACCACCAGATGGTGAACGAAGACCAGCTTGGAGACGAGATGATAGACCAGATCCTAGGGGTCTCCCACCAAGACCACCTCCACCTGGTGATTATCACGATAACATGAGAGCGGATGGGAGATACCGATCTGCGTCCAGAGAAGTCGATCGACCGCCATTACCGAGAAGTAGAGCGGGTGGTGGACCGAATGTCGATACGTATATACCCAGCTACGGCGGTGGAGAGGGGGGACGAAGAGATGATCGGAGAAGACGAGATGATCGTGATGAGAGGAGACTGCACGTTGATCGGGATTATGATGATCGGAGTCGGAGTGGCAGGACGAGGAGTCGGAGTCGGAGTCCGGTGAGGGAGCGGGATCGGGAGAGAGTTAGGGATAGGGAGGATAGAGATAGGGAGATGTATCGGCGTTAGCTAATGGGTAGCTGGTTCATCATAGCTCGGGGTGCTCGATTGCTTTTTGGGGTTTGGTGTACGATTATGTGTGGCTTGATTATGGGATGCAGATCAGATGACTCTGAGGATTGCGATTTTAGTGCCTGGGTTAAGGCATGCAGGAGATAAGTAGTGAGCGGAGCGTACCTATAGTAGATAGCTAGGTAGGTACTGGTATAGTAATAAATAGAATGGAATGGGATATTTAGATTCTTATGTTTCGTTTCGTTTTACAAATGTCGGGCTTTGCTTGCTTCTTAGTCTCAGTATAAGAGTCTCAGGGGATCTCTTTTAGGGATCCGAGGGACGAGGAATAAATCACTATCGAGACGAGAGGATCATACTAGATTGCTTGCTTCTAGGTAGGCAGGTATAATAAGAGACCTGTTTATTACTCTAGATACTTCTCGTAAGATACTTGGTATAATTCCATTTTACCAAAACCCATATATAGTAAGATTAATTTTCCGAACATGTTCGGGTAATTTAGATATCGTGATTTTCATTGTTCGAATTTAGTGAGAGAATTCTTTTCGTTGGAAGAAGGGAGGATATTTAAATAGTTTCTACCTTTCGCTATATCCTATATCGGTAAAACTATATATATAAAGCATAGAGCATGGAGTAGTTAAAGATAGTATAGTAGAAACCCCCGCTCGCTACTAAAACTTAAACTACTTTCTCTATTCTAGATCTCTAGGACTATATAGAGGCTATAGTATAAATTAGTACACATATATATACCCCCTCGCTGCTAAAACTTAAACCACTTTCTCCATTCTAAATCTCTAGAACTATATAGAGGCTATACTAGATAATGGTACACATATATATACCCCCTCGCTACGAAAACGTTCACTACCCGCTCCTTTCAATTCCCTCTTTATACTATACGTACTATCTGGGCTAGCTCTGACTGTTTGGTTTATATTACGAGGGGAAGGGATTTGTGCCTAGGTAACACCAACTACTACTAAGTAGAGTGCTCCAGCGTGGTCTTTAGGCCAGGTCGTCGTTGTCGATTTAGAACCGTTACTAGTTTGCAAGGGATTAGATAGTAGGAGAAGGGGCATGGTTTGTCAATCGACGTTGGGACGTTGATGACTAGGTAAGGGAGATTGCGAGAAGAGAGATGGAGTCAGTGTGTCTTGATAAAGGGGGTGGGTGGCTTGTTCTACTTGCAGTACCCGTTTCCTACGTTTTAGTAGAAGAGGAAGAGAGGAGAGGAATATTTGTTAATGACATGACTTCCGCGATACCTACCCGAATAGGTAATCTAGTTTTCTTTGACTAGGGAAGGCTTTTCTGAGAAGGTGCTTTTCTAGACCGTGGTTAGCAGGTAATTGTTCGTTCGGGTTGCTATGAGGGATGCAGGTGGTGGGGAAATAGATAGTTGTGCGTGCTGGATGGATTGGTGGTTGAACTGAGATTGAAATGTAGATGGAGGGGACAAGTGTGTTTCTTCAAGGGTCTTACTTTCTATAGTATTTGTCGAGAGGGTTGTTGTAATAATGGGAATGGTATTTTGTTTGTTTGTTGGTATTTTTGGGAATGTCCTGCACGAATCACTGCCTGAGATTTGTTAGAGAGAGGTAAAAGTAAAAAAGAAGACTAAGTAGAAATATTAGTGATTTAAATCAACCTATAGAACCTTTGAATCATCGTTTGAGGTGCGGTTTAAGTAGGTATATATTAATGTTGTGCTGGGTCTACTTTCTCTTTTGCTCCACTTCCTTATTTGATCCACTTATAGTTCTGCTGCCTAAATGCTTCATGTCTGCCTAAACCTTACACTCTTTATATAAACACCTTAGATAGCTACCTTTTACAATGCAATCAATTCTCCATGACCTTCAGTACCCAATACCCTTTCAACCCAATAATTAATATTCTAGGGATAATTACTTACAGTGATTGTTGTAACATGGTTCTGGTAGGTAGCGACGGCACGGTCTGTATGTACCTAGGTATGTATTATTCGGTGGTTATCAAGATCGGGATAGGACGAGATCCGTGGCTAGACTAGTTAGCATTTTTTTTTTTGAGGTCTTAGGAAGCACGCTAGGTTCTTTCCTTCCAAAGCAGTTTCCTCCTGCTTTCTACACCTCGTTCCTTCCCTCCTTTTATAACATTCCATGCCCAAAGACCTCAGATAAGGTAGGTAGGTACTTATCACCTCCCGCTACTTTACGTAGTCTTACCCGTAAGAGACCTGGTTATTTAATTACTCTAGATATACCTAAGCTAGCAAAGTCTATTATCCTAAAAACCTCGTACAACTAAACTTATTATATAAGCCATGTAGAATAATCGAAATAAATATACGTTAATTACCCTTGTTAGTTTAGGAAAAGTAGGTTCATTTTTGGGAAGATTCTAGTTTACTCCGCTAGTAATAGTATAGACAAAGTAATAGATAAGCCTCTTACCTCTTAACCTCGCTTAGCTTATTTCTTTTACTTTACTTCCCTTTATTACTAAATCGAACCTCGTAGTTTACAGCTCGAAAAACCATTCTAGTTATACAAGAATTTTAGAATAATATTTCTCTCTAACGGAGGTGTTTCTAGAGTTCCGCCAAACTATCTCACCCAACTTCATATATCACACCCACTACTCCTTCCAACCCCCCCCTTCCCCCCGCTAAACCACAATACCTAAACAAACATATTAACCGTAACTTCATTACGAACAACAAGCCCCCCCTTCCGCTTACATTTCCCATGGCAATCTACACTCCCACGCCCCGAATACTGGTGTCTGCCGCGACATCGGCACCGGTAATAGCATCGCTGGAACTCCGACTCGGGGGCTGTACATATTGCTATGGCGAAGGCGATGAAGATGATAAGCCCGGTTTTCCACGAGGGCGCCGATGAAGCTGAAGAGGATGATTAATTCTTTCTGCATTTTTTTGGTGGGGCGTGGAGGTTCTAGTTTCTTTTCTTTTTGGTAGGTGGGGAAGATATGGGAGTGAATACCGGAATTCTCACATGTGATTTTAGATCACCCCCTGTATCCACTTATCCACATATACTGTAGATGGCCTGATATCCTATAATATAACTCCTGTTCTCGACCTACATCTAACTCCATTATTATTTACTAGTGACCTACGTAGGGAATCCCCGAATTGTACAATAAATCCTTCGATATTTATACCGACTTTACAACGTATAGTATCGTATATATTTTAAGCCTTATGCTATAAAATTTATAGTATAATACTATATATTCTAATAACCTTATATTTAACCTTTTTTAACCTCTATATTTCGACTTTAATTATTTAGACCTATTAGTATAGAAAATTAATCCTTTAATACCTTAATACTTAATAATTTAGTACTAGAAGTATATATTAATATTATTAATCTTAGTATAATTAATTATTTTAACTATCCTAGCCTTAACTTTATTACTCGAAAATACTACTATAAATATATATAAAATCTACCTTCGACTTAAGCCTCTAGAATATCTCTCTAGAGTATCTAATATATTTATAGAATAAATTATTACTTTACTTTATATCTACTAATATAAATTTAGCTATCCTAGATAATTCGGACTCTAATTTAAGTAAAGAGGAGTATTACGACTTTCTTTATATAGTAAATACTATTAATACCCTACCTAGTATATATATAATACTACTACTATACTGTAACGAATACTCAAACTGGCTAACTAAACCTGGCTGGGTGTTCGCTGGTTGGTATGCTATGATAAGAAGAAGACTAACGGGTTGTTCACTTGGAAGTGAACTCGTTACTTGTATCAAAGATGTCAAACTAATATGATAAGATTGATAACTAAGTTGAGCACGAAGCTCCTATCTAATGGCAGACGTGCCAGTCTTATATAGAACCTTCGTTCCCAATATATCGCTACCATCGCTATCGATAAAATCGATCATCGCTTTTATCGATTTCGATCAAGTCGATATAGTCACGTGATTTCTGGTTGCTGAGAAATTCCTTGGATCGTCTGGCTAGCCTGACGCAGCCATCCGATCCTTACTGTTTGGTTAAATACCAATGGGTTCTCCTGTCAGCGAAGTGCTGTCTGGGCCCATGGTCCCAAATGTCACCTGACGATTTCGTAATCGTGACACCTTTCTAGTAGACTTTTATAGTATTATAGAAGCTATAAATAACTAGTTACTAGGTAATTTATATTAAAAAGGAGTAATATTACTTACCTTCTTTTATATTATAAGTAGAGTAATCCTTTTAGTAGTTATAGTATTTACTATTACTAAGGCCTAAAACGCTATTATACTTATAGTATTTAGTATACTTCTCTTTATTTTCCTTTTTATAAGCCTAAGCTAGAATAGTATCTAGTAAGATAGTTTTTTAAGTAATAGCTAAGTAGCTACTATCATAGTTATTCTATATTTTATTATAAACAACTAGTTACTTTAAAAGGATTTTAGTTTTCTTTTATCTTCTTTTATTAAGAATATTAATATTCTAGCTATTCTAATTTCGTATTACTAAATATACTTATACCTATACTTATAACTATATATTAGTAGGGTAAGTATTAACTAGATCCGCCTAGTCTACGCTAGTATTAAATATATCTAGGGTATTATACTTAACGCTTAGTAGTATAGAATTAGTAGTAGAAGTAGAAGTAGAAGCTATTTTTTACCAAGACTCTCTTAGCTAAGTAGAAGGTAAAGGTAATAAGGTAAGATCTTATAGAAAGTACTTATAAGCCTTTTTTAGATTATTAGTCGTAGAAGCTAAAAATAATACTACTTATATACTTAGTTAGATTAAATTTTTAAGAAGGTCTATTATAAAGTAGTTAATTATATAAAATTATTTATAAAAAGTTTTTACTACTTTCTTTCTCTTAATATAATATTCTTTAAATAGATTCTTCTCTCTTTATTATTTATTATCTCTACCTATACTAGTAAAGAAGGTTAAACTAGTAATAAAAGCGCTAGTAGTAGTAAATAG